GTCACAAGTGCACAGCAATGAAAAGAACAATGCATTTACCCATCCCGTTGGAGAGCAGTGGGCTGTCGTTGTGCGGCATCCAGGGAGCTGTGCGAGCTTAAGAGTCTTTTGCTCAGGAACCCAGAGTGGCAGTCGGGCTCGAACTCAGAACCTCAGGATTCCAAGCTCTATGCCCTAACATCTAGGCCGCCACTCTCCTTAAATTTCTGCAGCCTAACCGTGACTCTCACCTTAAACCTAAACATTATGTGTTCATACCTAACCCTAACCTCAACCTAAACTCAATTCACACCTTAGTCCTTAACCAAACAGCTCGTACCTATGGGCATCAGGCATTGGTCGCCACAAGAGCAGCCAATCCCCAGAATGTGCTGATTTATGGAAAATGTTCCCCACCATCTTAGAAACACATAGACACACAGAAAGGGTTAAAAATATCTTAAAAGCAATGGAAGTCAAAGGGATTCATCACATGGTCCTCACTACCTATGGCAAGATGAGAATGTGTGTATGTGTGTGAGTGTGTGAGTATACTCTGAATAAAACAAATCCTCCCTGTGGGAATTACATAGCAATCAATGACAATTAATGAGCTGGAATCCTCTATAAGGCCATTAAGTAGTGGTGTCACACTCAAAATCAATATCTCTTAAATGTCTATCTAGATGATAGAAAATCACTTCCTTTGTAATGACCGTCTCCTGAAGTTTGTGATGCTAATCTTACAGCTTTTTTTGTTTAATTTAATACAGCAGTCTTGGAGATATCTACTGTAAGGCCTTCAGTACCCCTGCTAAAAAGAAATTAAAAAGATCCTGTCCACTTGGCCTGCTGAGCATATTTTAAGCTTTTGCTAATCTGCTGACTTAATTAAGACAGCCTCATCAGGACATGGCAGCTTGCTGAGCTGTGCTGTGTGAGAGGATCACGGTACGGACAGATGACGAAGATAAAAGCTCTCATTAGCCACAGAGATGGTATCGATGAAAAAAATATATATCTGCACCCTGGTAATGGTCACAGTTAAAGCTGCCATCTGGATGTGCAGTCCTGCTGTCCAAAAGATGTCAAGAGGTCAAGAAGAGGCCAACTACAGCAGGATCCATGGCTACATAAAACTGTCAGGCTTTAAGTCTGAGGTTACTCTGTGTATCTGTCTTTACATATCTGTCATCTCTTGAAAAGACATGGTGACAGTTTATGCAACTTTAGGGTCATACTGGTGAATGCGAATGAGTCCGTTTTTGGGTGAATGTGATTCCAGTGTGAAGAGCTTTGAAAGGTCAGTAAGAATAGAAATAAGCACCCTATCAATTGAGCCATCAATGATCTGAAAGAGGTAGGTTTTATTCTATCCTTAGGGTTAACCCCTAGTATCAGGTTGGATAAGTGATGTAATGGGGAATCATTTATTTTCTGACCCTTAAAACCACCTCCCCTTGGTTTATGCCTACCTTTATATATTTTTTAAAGCATGAGAGCTAAAACAAAATGAAAATAAATAAAAAAACAGGACAATTGATAAACCTCATTTATTGATTACTTATCCAGAGGATATATTACTTTTCAGTGAGTTGGACTCTCCTTATTTACAGAAAATAAAATAAATATAAAAAATACAAATATGTACAATTAAAATACTGAAGCTTTGGTGTCATTTGTTCAAACTCTCCTCAAAGTAATGCAACTTAAAGATACCACCTGTACCCCACTCAGGTCTCACTGCTATTCAGTATACCATGAGATATACCTTTATTCTCCCACAGTGGGGAACTACAAAGGAGCTGCTAAAATATTCCCTATGTGACCCGATATTAACACTACTGAATGTTCTGCTATAGGCCTTTCAGGGATTCTGTTTCCACCTGTAAAATTCCCATTGGCATATCAGGTGTTTGAGGTACGTCTCTTGAAATTTTTAGTTTATATACATTTCATCTCAAACACATTTCTACACTGCAAAAACAATCTAGAAATAAGTGAAGATTTCTTAAATTAAGTGAATTTAACCTTAATTTGAGTAGATAAATAAGAGGATTTGCCAATGGTATGAGAATTTTTACTCTTAAAATAAGATGATAAGATAAAAATGCACTTGAAACAAGACAATGCAGTTGTTTTTGCTTATTTTAAATATAGATTGTCTTGTTCCTCTGGCAAAGTGTCTCACTTACTCCCTCAATCCAATAAAAAATGCAGTTATTTTAAGAAAAAATTACTTATTAAGATTTGAATTTTTTGCAGTGTAGGTATTTCAACATATGTGGCGAGGTAAGAAAGACCATGACGAAAGTTTAGAAAAGGTCTCCAGCTGCTCCTGAGGATTTTTGATATTGTGTCTGTTTCTTCCTAGCTTAAAGTGGTTTTATGTATATTTAGTTTTACAAATCTAGGAATAAAAAATGGATGATTACATCTCATAACATTATTTCTAAAAAATAAAGATTTTTTCCAGGAGGTGCCCTTTGCTGGACTGGCCATCGAACACACCAGGCATTTGCCTGTTGGACTGCTGGTAAATTTGTTTACACTTCATTCAGTTATTCCCCATTCACTCACACACCGATGGTGGCAAGCTACATTGTAGCCAAAAGCTGCACTGGGGCTCACTGGCAGAAGCGAGTGTACCGTAGACTGGCGCTACCAGTCCCTCTGACACAGCATGTCTTTCCCAAATACACAACGACACTGAAAGCCAGAACCACGGCTTGAACCGACAACCCTCCGGTTGCGGGGTCAACTCTTTCATCCAAGGCCACTGTTGTCTCATTAATATATGTATGTCTTCTTTACATAAACATCTTATTTATTCCTGACAAGATATCTTTTTATCTTTTTCTGTTTTATTAACATTTATCAGCAAACTAGTGAACATTAATTACTTTTTTCTATTAGGAAAGTACATATATTTAAACAAGACAGTGTACAAACTCTGTCACAACAAAGTTTTTGTATAAATTCATAGGATTCGTTATCTTTAAATTTATACATAGTGGGCAAGTCTCTGCTCAAAATGCCCAGGCCAATACTTTTTCCAGCCGAGTCCTGGAAATACGGAAGGAGATCCAGGGGGAGACCCAGCACACGCTGGAGGGACTATGTTTCTCGGCTGGCCCAAGGTGCTGGGGCGAGGGATGTCTGGGCCTCCCTACTGAAGCTGCTACCCCCGCAACAAGACTCCTGATAAGCAGAAGAAGATGGATGGATGGATGTATGGATGGATAGTCCAGGAAATACAACAGTTTACGATGGATCTTTCCTTGTTAAGAGTGTCTTCTCTGAGATGACGGGCTATCATACCTCCCATGTCTATAAAGAGAAAGAACCAGGCCAATTAATATATATTCTGGACCGACATAACCTCACATCTTGTATAGCAATGCAAGGGAAGTGATTAGGGGGGAAATAGCAAAATATGTCATTTTCATCCAGCCTGGAAATACTCTATATTACCTTTTCCTCTTTATCTTCAGGAAATCCTTTGATATTTTTCATTTTTGGCATGTAACAAAATAACAGCCTCAAGGACACCTCCAGGCAAGGAAAAGAAAGAGTAGCATTGGTTAGTAAATTCAGTCATAGTGTAAGTCAGGGATGGCCAAAGTTAGAGTAGTTCATGGTTTTTGATATCCTTATCATATAAGTTTTTAAACGCTGGTAAGGTTAATTACATTCAGAAGCATGGTTAAAGCCGTTTTATTTGTATTTGTAGCTGCTTTTTTTTTTTTTTATCTGTTCAATTTAACTTGTAAAGGCTCCACAGATATATGTTGCATTTGCATTGGCTTAGTGTACCCTTTTGTGGTATTTGTATTTTAGGCTTCAACAGGATTTGCATAACATTTATCAGTAAAATGGGAGTGTTTGAGTCATACTCTGACTTCATTATCTGAAAGAAAACAAATGTAGAGCTATGGCTTGGCATTTCTAACTGTCTGCTATTGCTTTCATATTGGGAACCCCAGGTAACCCTCAGATGCACTACATTATAAACCTAACATGCAGATGCCCCAAATGATTCTATTTACTATGGGATTATTTTTGGATTATATTATTTTCAATGCAATCAAAAAGGAAAAGGAAAATAAGGGACATGGGTGAAGAAAAAGGCTAGAAATCAGAGGAAATAAGAAAAGAGGTTGCAAAAAACACAAGATTACATCCAAAGCGACTGCTTATACACCTTAAAAGAGAGATAGAAACAGAACAGCTGAAAAAGCATAACAGAGACAAACAACCAACACATAACAACATCACTGAAAAATACACATTATCTAATACAAGATGTATTTAGTGGCATCTACAGCTTAATATAGAGTTTATTCATGTGTAGGTATAACTGATAAAAAACTGTAAGTCTGCTTGAATATGTAAAGATTCTATAAAGAAGCTGGAAGGAGCCAAAGACCTAGCCTACCAGGTCCCAGGCAGACATGTAGAAGATTGGAGCTGAAGACATCCAAAGGGCCTACAGAGAACTGGTGACCTAGGAGAAACCAACACGGGGATAACTGCAGAGTTGACACCCCAAGACACCCTCTGATGCCATGCCCAAAACGGAGCAAACCTGGTATTCCTCAATCTAACCCAGAGCAACCAATAGCTTTTAAAGTGTTCATGCTGTTTTAATCCACATCAAGCTGTTCTGTAAAGCATTGTGAAGTTTGTTAGGGAACATTACTATGCAAATAGCATTATGAACACCAGGGAACACAGGGAGAAGCTGTTTAGATGGTCAAGCAAGTTAAGGATAAAAGGATAAAAAACAAATGGGTAATTCTTAAAAAGTGCAATGTGACCAATAAACTCACAGGTGGGACTATCATTTATATACTTAACAAATGTATTTGGAAGAACTTACAACAAAAGCCTTTGTTGGAAGAAAGCCAAATCATGCCTTGTTTGCCCTTTGTTATATTGGTATACGGTAAATATTTGAAGGTGAAAGAAGGAGCTCTGTTCAGATCAGACTGAAACAAAAATGTTGGTTTGCACGTGAATTCAGCAAAAATAAGACTTTATATATCCGTGAACACATACCTACAATAAAACATAGAGGTAGCAGTATAGTACTGTGACAATATTTGTTTAATGGGGGAAAGGTAAATAGTTGTTGATGAAATACATGGAGCTTCCTACATACAGGGAAATGTCAGAGATTGCAATGTACTCTTTCATAATCATCCACTGTTTTGTTTTGCTTTTTGATATAATATCCAAGAAAAATGTGCTTACCAATCTAACTACTATTTGGTAACTTTTAGATATAAATATTCATACCTAACTTTTTATTCAGCTGTTTCAGAGTAAACAGGGACCACAGATAGAGTTTTATTTACAAAACACCATGTATACTATTTACAATTATCCATCTCTGTATGTTTGTCTGGCCAACAAGCAGTTTATGGCTGTAACATGGTAAGAAATTGATTATGTGTTTATACATATACAATGAATGAGAAGTGTATCTCTTAAGCAGTTGGAATATACTTTTAAGAAAAAGAAATGCATCATTATAAAAAAAATTATATATATACAGTACAATAATAAAAAAAGAAATACTCTACCTTAACTTAACTTTGACTGTATGATCTGGTGAACTGTAAAGTGCCTTGAGATGACATCTGTTTACAATTGGCGGTATATAAATAAACTGAATTGAATTCAATTAACTTTTTCACAGCCAACCAAGGTCCAGCCAGTACACAACATGGCCTTTACATTACGAATATTAAATCTCTCTAGATGCAGATAGAACTACTTGTAGAAAGTCATTTTCCTCCAGTAGCACAGATGCAATACTTTGTGTCAAATCTCTTTTTTTAATTGGCACTTCTCACTTCAGGTTCAGAACTAAATAAGTCAGCATCTTTTAATATGTGTCAAAGTCAAAGAGCCCTGTTTTCATTAAGGTTATTATCTTGACATTGAATCCGGAATCTGCTCCCTCCAAGCCTTTCTGTGAGATTTCTAAAGCGACATCTTCTGCTGTTTCTACTCTTTCAAAAAACCCGGAAATGTAGTTGGAAGGTTGTACCGGTTCTTGTGATTCATTGCTGTAATGCAAATAAAAGATTCTGATAAACTGCAAAGAGCAAAGGCAATTTTCCAAAATGCAGATTCCATTTATCTCTGTCACTGGATCCTTTCTCATTGCAATTAGGACTTGTGTGTAAGACCCTATAGGGAGATTTGGTTTATATATGCTTGGATGGCTTTAGTCAGTCAGGATAAGTTTAGCTGATGCCTTTCAGCAACAAAAAGGCGGCTGCTAAGGTTGATGTCTGAGCCTAAGTCCATATGTTTAAGCTCAGTGACCTGAATATAAATGATGATTTGAGCCATGATACAAATGGAAACTGTTGTTTAGTCTTTCAAATTAAATTTTCATTCAGTTTGATTTCCAGCTTTTTCCCCTTATGGCCGAAATTGACCAGGCAGCGAGATGCTAAATGTATCTTCTTATGTGATCAATACCCCTTGATTATGGCATTAAATGTGATCTGATTTTGATACAATGTGAGAGTTTATTGTTGCCAAGAGTTATGAGCGTACTGAGTATGTACATGCACAGTGCATCCTGTGAATCATGTATTCATCTACAGTGTTGTATGGACAGCACATGCATGCTGGATCTCATGAGGGAATGTGAGTGAGCACAGCTGTTGCAATCTTCATTGAGTCAATCTGTGAATCAGGCTTTGATGATTGAGAGAGTTTGGGGCCTCATGAGGTACTGGCAGACATGGCAGAGGGGCAGGAGAGATACGCCAGGCCTGCACCGGTTTTCTCCCTATCTGCTCTTGGATGAAAGAAGGCAGGAGCGCTCTCAGCTGATGAACAGCTGGGCGTGACAACAGGAAATAGAGTGGAGGGTTCCAGCATGGAGCCAAGCACACCAACAAAATGGCGGTCAAAGAGGCCACTTCCCAAAGCAGTGTGACTCTTGTCAGGGTTTGTTCATAAGGCCCGGGTGGAGTGGGAGGTGAATTTGATACAGCTAAAGATGAAGATGCCCAGACATCTAGCCTGCTTGTGGGAGAAGCTACTGAACTGATGTAAGGAGACAAAACATTGACAAACTCAAGTGCATAATATGGCAACCAGCTAATTGCAAAGACAAGTGTTGAACTAATTAGCAGGGCGGTAGCTTTCTTGTTGCGTCTGTTGGCAACCAGGCTCCCTCTGCAGCGGTGAAGGTGGGAGATAATGAGGCCACAGTTAATGGCGATGCACAAGAGTGGGGCTATGTAGTACACCAGGAAAGCAGGAACCAGAAAGAACAGCCATTCTTCCCGACCAACCGACCATGTGCATCCACCGTCGAAGTTGATATAGGTGACCTTCGGCAAGGCCATGGTTACAGAGACCAGCCAAATTGCTGCCACAGTGCACAGCCTATGGGAAAAATGAGAGCATTGAATTAGTTATTGTCTACATCAATGGGCAATAGAGCTAGAGGTCTTTGTAAGGAATGTTTCTCTGAATGTATATTGACCTTTCATCTCAAGTTAGCACCTGTATTAAGCAATAGCATGTTATTGCAAAATTATTTAGTAATGTCCGATAAAATGTCCGATAAAACATGTCCTTTTAACACTGGGAATTCATTTGTCTCTAAATTAAATTACAGGTCAATGGATTGCTAGAGGTTCCAAAGAAAGCTTGATTAATGTCTTAAACTGTTTAAATTAGATGTGTTCCATCACAAATCAATGAGGCTCCCAAAGCAGCAAGTAAAGATTTACTTTAATAGATTCTGAGTTAGTGCAACTGGAAACGGTTTATCAGCTATGTAGGTCTTATTACATGTGATACAAAACCAAATACTTAAAGAAAGCAAGTAATCCTCCAAAGTATGAAGAAGCAAAGAACTATAGACATACAGGCAACATCATTCTATGTAGGTATTTTGCTTTAATTTCTTTAACAAAAGTGTTCAAATATTTCTGCAATAAATGGAACAATGTCAATGTTATGTTCCATTGTTTTGAGTATCATCGAATGCTCTTGTTTTCTGCTTTATTTCTTGGTGCTGGTATTTAGTTATTTAGTTCTGGTTTTATGTTGATTCTTTCCTAGATTCTATCTGTCTGCCCAGTTAATTGATTCTTCTTCAACCAGAGCCACCAGGCAATCAGTTTATTCATTCCACGTGTCTCTCCTCATTTATCCCATTGTCTACCCCTGTCTCTACTCTTCATAAGCCTCCAGTTTGCCTTAGTTTATCACTAGTATTCAGTATTCATTCTGTCTCCATGTTTGGTTTGTGCTCACCATCTGTTCCTGTAAGTTTGTTATTTCATTTCACCATTAAAACCCTTCCTCTCAACATGCTGTCCTGTACTCAGGCTCCTATATAACCTGTTAGGGAGAAAATAACTATTTCCGAATCAATTTGTTGAAGTTCAGACAAACACACAGCTTATGTTTTTTTTATTAAATAGAATTTATTTTCAATACCTCACTGACGCTAAAAAACGATTACATTCTACCTGAAAAAGCACTTCAACACCCGAGTTGCTAGTACAAAGTTATAGAGTAGAATTGATTAAAAAAAGATCAGATATGTCTTACGGGCAAGTTAATGTTAAGGAAAGGTCAAGCTAAAAAAGGATTTAAACCAATATAAGTGTCTATGGAGCTTTATGCTGTGTGGCTAACGTAATGGTTGAAAATATTTAACACTGCTGCATATTTTTAGTTATATTAGATATGCAAATTAGTAATTGTATTGTTGAATGTTTAAATTAAATTCTTTGCACTGAATAAGTAATTGTAGGAAAAAAAGGTGACATAGAACTGTGCTGATAGTAATGTACCCCTCCCTGACACAGCTGCAAGCAAATTTTGTACCTTTTATCCCCAAACACTATCATACTATCCAGAACAGGCTGCATCATAAGGAACACAGATAGGGCAAAATATACAGGTGCTGGTCATAAAATTAGAATATCATGAAAAAGTAGATTGATTTCAGTAATTCCATTTAAAAAGTGAAACTTGTATATTATATTCATACATTACATACAAACTCATATATTTCAGATGTTTATTTTGTTTAATTTTGATGATTACAAATGACAACAAATGAAAATCTCAAATTCATCATATCAGAAAATTAGAATATTACTGAAGACCAATAAAAACAAAGGATTTATAGAAATGTTGGCCAACTGAAAAGTATGAACATGAAAAGTATGAGCGTGTACAGCACTCAGTATTTAGTTGGGCCTCCTTTGGCCTGTATTACTGCAGCAATGCGGCGTGGCATGGAGTCGATCAGTCTGTGGCACTGCTCAGGTGTTATGATAGCCCAGGTTGCTCTAATAGTGGCTTTTAGCTCTTCTGAATTGTTGGGTCTGGTGTATTGCATCTTCTTCTTCACAATACCCCATAGATTTTCTATGGGGTTAAGGTCAGGAGAGTTTGCTGGCCAATTAAGAACAGGGATACCATGGTCCTTCAACCAGGTACTGGTAGCTTTGGCACTGTGTGCAGGTGCCAAGTCCTGTTGGAAAATGAAATCTGCATCTCCAAAAAGTTGGTCAGCTGCAGGAAGCATGAAGTGCTCTAAAACTTCCTGGTATGTGGCTGCGTTGACCCTGGACCTCAGAAAACACAATGGACCAACACCAGCAGATGACATGGCACCCCAAACCATCACTGACTGTGGAAACTTTACACTGGACTTCAAGCAACGTGGATGAAGTGCCTCTCTTCTTTTCCTCCAGACTCTGGGACCTTGATTTCCAAAGGAAATGCAAAATTTACTTTCATCAGAGAACATGACTTTGGACCACTCACCAGCAGTCCAGTCCTGTTTCTCTTTAGCCCAGGCAAGACGCTTCTGACGCTGTCTGTGGTTCAAGAGTGGCTTTACACAAGGAATGCGACAGCAGAAACCCATGTCTTTCATACGTCTGTGTGTGGTGGTTCTTGAAGCACTCACTCCAGCTGCAGTCCACTCTTTGTGAATCTCCCCCACATTTTTGAAGGGGTTTTGTTTCACAATCCTCTCCAGGGTGCGGTTATCTCTCTTGCTTGTACACTTTTTTCGACCACATCTTTTCCTTCCCTTCGCCTCTCTATTAATGTGCTTGGACACTGAGCTCTGTGAACAGCCAGCCTCTTTAGCGATGACTTTTTGTGTCTTGCCCTCCTTGTGCAAGGTGTCGATGGTCGTCTTTTGGACAACTGTCAAGTCAGCAGTCTTCCCCATGATTGTGTAGCCTATAGAACTAGACTGAAAGACCATTTAAAGGCTTTTGCAGGTGGTTTGAGTTAATTAGCTGATTAGAGTGTGGCACCAGGGGCCATCAATTTTGAACCTTTTCACAATATTCTAATTTTCTGATATGATGAATTTGAGATTTTCATTTGTTGTCATTTGTAATCATCAAAATTAAACAAAATAAACATCTGAAATATATGAGTTTGTATGTAATGTATGAATATAATATACAAGTTTCACTTTTTAAATGGAATTACTGAAATCAATCTACTTTTTCATGATATTCTAATTTTATGACCAGCACCTGTAAAAAGAAAAAAGAGCAGATGATGTTCCACAAAATGTACCCAGTTTCATAAAATTTAGAACAAAATAACACACGTTTTCATAGGGAAGTACTGAAAACTAAACTAATCTTGAAATAGACTGCTCCAAAACTTTTTAAATCCTGGACCAAGTGTGTGACAGAAGAGATAAATCGAAGCTTTGAAAGCAGATTAGGAATAATGCTGCAAAGCAAATGTACAACTTACCTTACAAGACTGTAGATTTGTTAAAATGATTTGGGGATTGTTTACAGGAAAAAGGTTTTCGTTTTTTCGACTGACTTACCTCTTTCATAGATAACCCAACCCATAAAGAAAGGTAAAAAAAAAATAAAAATGTAACACTGATGCCATTTCAAAAAGGTCAATATTTAGTGACAATGCCTCTCAGCATTAACAATGCTTGCTATGTCTTTACTCACACTTGCGTCAGACTAGCAGGTGGCCTCATCCGTGGTGCGACAATTCGATACCTCAGCACTGCCAACGCTGCAAGGCTAAAGATCTCCACTCCAACTGTCACTGAAGTCATGAACCCAAGCAGAACACAGGTCCCACCGCCGAGCTGCCAGTTCTGAAGGCTGGCACTCAAAAGCACACAGGGCAGGGTGAGCAGGGCTCCTAGATCTGCCAGGCTCAGATTTAGGAGCAGAATGGAGCTCGGCTTGGAGCGACTCCGAGGGTTCCTCACCAGCACCAGCCACAGCAGGAGGTGACCTCCCACTCCCACGAAAAGAGAGATCAGACTGACCATTGGCAACACCACTCTGAATGAGATGGTTGTGTTGGTAGAGACCACGTTGAAGAGGAGGTTGACAATAGCAGGCATGGCCTCAGGAAATCTGACAAGTCCAAAAAGAAATAAGGAGAAGAGATAAAAATAATGTTATTTTGCAAGGGTGATCAGAGCTTAATATAAAGTCACTTTTATTTTCAGGTGATAGGCTGCCAATACAACAGGGAATGTCAATGATGTGTCTGAATAAGAATTGGGTAAATATGTTTTAAATAATAGTGGATTTTCTCCAAACTAGACTAGATACACACATGGCTTGATACACACATACACCCCAAATAAACATCTGGATACACTTTTTTTTTTAGCAAGTTTCCAAGAAACCAAATACCTTTTGAAGTCATTACCCAGTTCTGTCATTTAGGTGGATGAAAATTCAATCATTTAAAAAAAAAAAAAAAAAACGTTAAGTAATGGTTGCATCTATTTAAACAACCATAAAAATGATATAGCTCTGTGCATACCAGAAGCTTGATTTAATTTTATTTTATCAAATGAAATGGTTTTGATACCTGTTTGTAGTATTTAGTTAGAATAATAAGTGAATCAAAGGCTCTATCTGTACAACATATCTGAGAGGAGGACATTCAAGCCAAACTAGAGGAATCAGCGGTCGCTGTTATGTGCTGTCTGAATAGTGCTGACAGTAAAGAAGAAGGCAGGAAGAGTAAGCATTATGCTTCCTACTGTATAGATAGCCCACTTAGCATTGGGACCAGTCAACATTCCTATCTGGTGCTTAGGATTTATAAGGACAGCAACAATCCTATGCATGACAGGAGATATAGGCACAGTTCACCTAATAGGATTTTATAAAAATATATGATTTCTACATGCATTGTTATGTATGGCGCTTTGAATGTTTAGGGGTTTATAATGGACAGTTTCAGCCTGTCACTATATTTGTGTAACTTGCATTTTGCATGTTTGTAGTTCTTTTTCTGAATGATGTAGTACCAGTTTTTACTTGTGTCATCAATGTGTGTCCATCCATCTCTATTGCGTAGCGACATCAATAAGGACTAAGTCTGTCTGAGGTAGAAGCTACAATATGCAGACTTTAGAATAAGCCCAAGTTTCATATGTCAACCACGATTTTGCATATTCTTATCCATATCCCAAGCTCCACCCCACCCTTTCACCTTATGTGACGCAGCCGTCAGCACAATTCTTTTACACATTGCTTTGCAGGCAGTGATTGAACTCCCTCATCTATGTATTAACTAATAATACAAAGTCAATATTACAAACAATATAGCTAAATAACTTACCAAAAATTAATGAGTTGTTCGGTTATTAACTTGTTATATCATTCATGCAGCTTTTAAAATAATCGTATACAAATCTGAGGACATATTGTTAACACAACAGCATTTCTTGGTAATACAGTAAAGGACTCTCTAGCAGGCTTGCCCATTTTGCTAATAATTAAATTGTATTGCTTAATAGCAAAGTCCCAATCTTATTGACAGATGCCTTGCAGCACTCTCCCTAATTAAAGCTGTGAAGGCTATTTGACAGTTAATGTCAAACATTAAGTCTTTATTCAAATTGATATGATTTTGTTAAACATGTGAACTTATATTTCTATCAATGTTTGAAGATTCAGTAATTACTATGCATGCAATTTGTTATGTAGAAGAGAACATTGGTCACCTAAATGAAAGCTAAATGTGCTACACAATCTCCATGTTTTTAAATGAAACGAAGAACATAGTATCATCAACAATAATCAGCTGAGATGACATCTGCCCCATTCCAAACAATCACCTTAATTGTTTTGCAGTTAAACATAAATGTGATTTAAGCTAATTCCCTGATGATATTTTGATGTTTGCATGAAATAACACTGTGTCTTGTTCAAAAATAAACATGTTTTTTATTTTTTTTAATTCTCTTGTTTGGAGTATTTGCTTCTTCCTGTTTGGACAAAGGCAGTGGACAAAGGTGAAGGGCTTTGGAAGTAAAATGCCAGCTCAGCAGGCACCAAATATTGGCTTGTCATCAAAGGGGATGTTTAATACCTGTTGGTCTTCAGTTGGTATTAATGTTTTGCTCTATTTTCCTTATGCTGTTTTAATGGTTTTGCCACATCATTACATAAGAAACACTTCTGTGTTTTGGTATTAGGTATTTATTGAGTTAAATTGTACATACTTTGTTCAATAATAACGATTACAATTAAACTTTATTGATCTCACATTTGAGAAATTTACCTCAGTATTTAACCCATTCTCTTGGGGAGCAGTGGGCTGCCATCATGGGGTGCCCAGGGAGTAGTGTGGGGTTAAGGGTCTTGATCAGACTGGCTGTCTGTGGCCAACTTTCTTTCAGCAGTTTTTAAATAGTATTTCGAACTGTATTGGTCGAATGTTTTGCACAAATAAAATGCTATGCTTTTGCTGCTTGGTCCCTGATGCAGCAATTAAAGCACTGATTTGGAAAAACCTTTATTGTATAGCCAGCTAATTATTTATTTTTTTCTGATACAAACTGTCAGCATGTATTTGGTTATTGGTCTTTATTATAAGACCAATAAACAAATGATACTATCGGTTCCTACACACGTTAGCCAGAACATACAATTTTCACCCTAAATAAATGAAAGACAGCCAATATATGCCAAAATATGTATAAACTTAATCATGACATGATCTAGACTGATGGAATTGGAATTGAGGTTAACTCTCAACAACTGAGCAAGCCAAATCAAAAGTAAAAAACAAAAAACAGAGCAATTATCATCCTAATAATGAACATACTCTGATCTATTATTCATGTTTCAAATAGTTGGCTCAATGGGGTTCATGAATCACATACAGCTAAGAGTTTACCAGGCCCACCATGTGACTGATGAGCCCGATGATTCAGACGAGACAGTGTGTCTCTCAGGAGACCTGGACAACAAACATTCAAACACACAAAGGCATCAGCAAGTCGCCTGCGTCACGACACAAACAAGACGACTCACCTCGGTGGGCTCAGGCAGGCACGTCAGAAAAACAGAGGGGGAGGCTTTTCTTGTTCCCGAGGGGGACGACCAGGTACGACACACACAAAGCTGCTGTGAGAGGAGAGATTATGTGCAGTTTCTAAGAAAGAGGTGAGAAAAAAAAAAACACAAACAAACTTCTTGGATATAAAATTTAAATTTTTATTTGTAGAGCAAACACAATCCCAACTTTTATGCATTGTAGTGTTTATTATTTAGTGCTGTCAGCTTTCTTAAATCTTATTTTTTACATAATAGCCTATCTTGTGGGACGCATCATAGCTCAGACTTTGATGAACTCTCATCCATGTTGTCCATTAATGTGTGCTTAAATGACAGATGGACAAAGGAATGAATAAATGTTTGTTCATTCTTTCCTCCATCTGTCCATCTGATGCTGTGTCTCACTGGGCTTAATGTCCCCATCCTGATTCCATCCTAGGAGGTGGGTGATTATGTGTTCTGTGGTTGCAAAGCAAAAAAGGTCATGAAAGGGGCTTACATAGTGCTTTGTAGGAGTCATGGCAAACTAAAAGAATGATGCTGCTAGGCTTTAACAAAAGTAAACAGAGGGAAAAGCTTACACATATTTGATAGAAAATAAACAACTAATTTAAATTTATTAAATCAGCACCTTTTTGAATTTTGATTTCTGATATCACAACTAATACGGTATCAAAGCCCGGTTCCCACCTCAGGCAAATATGGTCTAAATCTGGCCACAAGGTGGATTAGATGTAATTTCAAAGTCAGTTTTCATTACATTCCTTATATTTTGTGCCACCCAACAGTAGATGTTAGCAGTAAAAAAAACAGAATAAAACAATTAGAATAGCACTGCAACGTAAAGAGCAGCGAGTCATTAGAGCTTCATGATAAATACAAAATAACTTTATTTACGCCTAATTGAAAGGCTAATAGTAACTGTATGTTGAATGCAGTTCGGATTGCAAATTGGTATAGACCCCTTTAAAAAAGGATATTATTGGTCTGCCCAAGCTGCAGTCCCACACTGAATTGATTAAGGCATTTGATGTCCAGAGGACGAGGTTAAATTTCTGAATAAACCTGTAAAGTTATTAATAACTCGCCCTATAACCTTGCTGTGTCCCTGCCTTTAATCATTATGTTGTGCGGAAATGACAGTCAGATCTACCCAAAACCCACAATAAAGAGTTTAACACCTTTTCTTTTTTCAATGCAGCGCCCAGTAATGTCTTCTGTTGTGTTACTAAAGCATAACATCCATTTCTATGTCTTTACTGTTGTGCTCTGTGTGGTGAATATCTATGCCAATGCAGACTAATATGGAGCTGCAAACAGTTCACAATAAAGTCAGATATATACAACCATTTCAAAGTAATGGGAACAACCAGTCAAAAAAATTCAGATTCCTGAAAAAGTAATTTTTGAGCATTAAGATCTGGAGTAAAGCAATCTAATGGCCTTTCAAGCTCACCTGAAAAGAATGACTTTTTATGTGTATGTTATTTCATCATAATATAAGTACAGCTTATTTGTTTAGGCCATATTGTAGGGATATCATAATCCAGTCCTGGAGGACTGTCCCAGTGTCCTGCACCTTTATTTATGTGTTTCTGCTTTAAAACACCTGAATTAAAATATTAAGTGCTTTGCAGGACTCAGGAGAACTTGACCTCAACTGAGGCGGTAACTTAGCCATTTGATGCAGATGTGTTGGTCCAGGCAGGTAGATATCTAAAAGATGCAGGATAACATGGCAAATTCCTGCCTTAGAAGTTTGTTAGATAATATCAGGGCACCAACAGCCTCATGGAGACCATGGAGACTGATGGGTGAAATATAACACAGCGTCTAAACAAAGAACATGGGTTAAACACATTGATGGCAGCATCATGCTACTGTATGTAAAATGTTTTCTTCAGTTCTGGTAAACAAGTTAGCTCTAGAGCTGATAGCGAAGTAGCTGTAAATAATCTACCAGGAGGATAGTGATTCTAAACACAGAGCTGTTCTCCAACAAAAGGGTTTGGATCAGAGCAAGGGCGTAGGAATATGTTTACAATTGGGGGGGACACATGTCGGAAATCTGAGATTCATAAATATTCAACAGAAACATGTCTTAAGTACGCTACTTTAAAAAAAAGGCTATTTAATCTTTTACTTTATTCCTTTATAAATGTGTTTGTAAAAATAATGCATTTAAAATTAACATAATGCATTTGTTCATAAGATGTGAGCATATCAACAAACAAAATAACTGGAGTCTTTTATTAAGCAAAGGGAGATGTCTTTCAAGGGCTTCAGCCCTTGGCATATTTAGTGTCCGCATACGCACTAGAAAATCAAAACAATTCAGTAGGCCACACAAGTGCAAAGTTTGATATGTTTTATTTTGTCAAACTTGCAATAATGGTCAAAAATGAATTTATATAGGTTGAATGACAGAGGGAGCTGACAGTGTGTTGAAGAATTATGGACAGGGCGCTTTGAAGCATCTGGTTCAAAAACGCATTATCAACCTTTGGTAGAAATCCCTCCATCCTTCCATTTTCTGTACACCCTGTCCCTTAGTGGGGTCGGGAGGTGCTGGTGCGGGGTCCACCCTAGACAGGTGGCCATCAAAACCAAGCAAAAAATAAAAAATCCTCGTAAAACGCAAGCCCAGACCGGGCTAATTTCAACACAAGTTGTGTTAGGTGACTGTTACTCACACTGACGTTTCTCTTTTTAAATAAATCTGAGTAAGTCCTACTGCTGTTTCAGCCTTTTAGTTGGTGGTGGCATTGTACTGAAATGAGATATAAAAAAAAATATATAAAAAAAACATTTTGGCTAGCGTGGCAAACGTCTAGAGAAAGTTAGCAGTTAAATATTGGATGAGTGATCAGCCCAAGACTACGGAAGAGGATTAGGGCCACTAAAAAAAAAAAAAATTAAGTGATTTTTACATTTTGTTTCAGTTTAATACGGGAAAAAAGTCAGAATCCTGACTTTTATTTTCAGAATTAAGACTTTTTTTTCTCAGAATTCTGACTTTTTTTCTCAGAATTTTGGATCTTAATGTAGATGGGCACCATGAAGGCAGAGATGTGGAGCACTCAGCTTCACTGACAAAGATGTGAGTTGTTTGAGAGAGCCAGTGACACATTGGTGGAAAATGACAGAATTAGGCAACTTTTTACGTGCCCGTGGGGTCCCCTCATTAATGGAGGAGCAGAAGGTCATTAAACAAGAGAGCTAGTCTCTAAAACAGACATGGCTATGGCTTGATGCTAACATGTTTGTTGTTAAACATACTTTTGTTATATTACATTTGTGTTGTGTTTTCCAAATAGTGTAGAAAATTAATGGTGGGTTTATAATGTTTACCTTTTATGAGCAGGACAGGAAGCAGAGAAGTGTAGCATTACCTCCAACTAGTTAAACTCATAATTATGAAGTTATTCAACAAATTCCTCAAGTAAAAAAGTGCAACTTTTATTTTTTATTTATTTATTTTTTTTTACCAGATTTGTTGATTAATTTCAGAATTATGTATTCCTTCCAAATTTCCAAATCTGAAGAATTTTTTAAACCAATATCTACATTATTTAACATTTAGTTTGTTTTAGCAGTACTTCCTGTTATATTTCTTTATACGTATATTTTACATTTTCTTGCACAGCAAGCTCAGCAGATTTAAAATGGTGTGCTTGTGTAAACACTAGTCAATCTTTACTCTAAACATATATTCTGGTTATTTTTTAGTGAGACCTTCTTGTTTTTATATATCTGTATAGTACCCCCCCCCCCCCACCACCACCAAAAAAAAACTGTAAATTGATTAGAAACATTAATCATCTGTCAGATTTCTGAGAAAAAAGTCAGAATTCTGAGATTAAAGTCAGAAATCTGAGAAAAAAGTCAGAATTCTGAGATTAAAGTCAGAATTCTGAAAAAGTCAGAATTCTGACTTTTTCCCCCATGTTAAACTAAAAAAAATTAAAAATCAGTTAACTTTTTTCAGTGGCCCTAATCCTCTTCCTACAAGACTAAGATGCCTAAACCAAAAAGATTCAGTTTCTATATATGAAAGTGAACTGACAACAAGACGTTATAAATAGGCAATATTCATAGCAGCATTCCCGACAGACCATTTTACCTCATTAACAAGTTTCTGACTTTCTGTATCGCTGTTTCCCTCTGAGTGCTCAAACACTCAACAGTTCACAGAGGGGAGGGGGAGTACAGTGACGTAACGCTATGCTGCGCCTTCAAAATAAAAGCACGACAGTTAAAAAATTGTCAAAATCTAATATTTTGCGGTACAATTTTTGGGGGGGACATATCCACCTGGCTTTTATATTGGGGGGGACATGTCCCCCCCGTCCCCCCCGCTTCCTACGCCGCTGATCAGAGCATATTCAATGATGTCTCAGTCAAAATTTAAACTGAAATATAGCAGCCCTAAATCAAGCTGTGACTTAAACATTTAATTTATCTTTATCTTTTGCTCCTCCATCAGTATGATGTCATACAAAAATGTAAGCGCAAAAAATGAAAGGCAAATAATTTCTATATTGATGTGAAAACCTAGATGTTAACCACATATAACACTACAATTTGTTGGAATTTTGCAAAATATAATGAATTTGTCACCTTTATAATGAAGGAAAACAACATAAAAATTCTGCAAGGCACTGTGTATAACACTAAAGGAAATTTATATGAGGTAATGAATGTAAATTCAACTAGTACTTATTGTTCTTTTTTTTATTACTACTATGTTTATGCAACCCTTTGGGTTTTCTGCTACAGTAACTAAAGAAGGAGAGAAAAAGAGAAGAGCAGAAATAAGGAAAGAGAGATAAGAAGGAAGCCTCTAACACCACAGATGAAGAGAGACAGCCGAGAACCAAAATGTGACTGGAAGCACAGAAACATGAAATGCACAGAAATGGATTTAACTACTTAAAGTTCATTTTAGACACATTGACCTGAAGGTGAACTGAATTTGAAGTTGTGACTGGGTCTGTGCTATTTGCTGCACTTCCATCCCGGCTATTCAACAGAATTAACCTACACCTATTATTACGGTACATGTATTACATGTTACCATAAAAAGCTAGCTATTTTCCAATTGATGTGTTTTTCTTTTCTTATGTTTTTATTTCTTGCTTCAGTAAACCTTTTTGTTGCTACCCCAATGAGCAAGAATGCTGTTTGCCTCCATATGTGATGTGACCCCCTGCTCAGCAAGATATCACCATCCATCCATCCATCCATCCATCCATCCATCCATCCATCCATCCATCCATCCATCCATCCATCCATCCATCCATCCATCCATCCATCCATCCATCCATCCTTTCTGTAGTTTTTCCTGTTTGACAAGTTCCAACTCGGTAAACATATAAATATATATCTATACAAAAATTTAAATAATCAGATTACTGAATACTATTTGGAAACAATCTACATGTAGAAACCTTGAGATGTGTTTGCTGACATAATCAAGTTAAAACCTGCTTTAAAATGCTTCAGTAGCATCATTCATCAAAATCACAAACTGGCCAAGTTTAATCTGAAATCAAGTTTTTACTTCAGCTATTATCTGACCCTGGTGGATATAAAAGTAGAGTACAGAGATTGGAGATGTGCAGCAGAGCCAAAGGGGGAAAGGGAAAGAATATTAAATGAATGCTCCTCACTTACCGTGAACGGTGACCTGCTCCAGGGTAAAAGCCTTCCACTCACCATAGGCTGATGTGCTGTATAAAGAGGAGAAATAGAGGGCACACACCTGTATTACTCCATGTGTTCACTCCGCCTCTTGACTCCCCATGCAGTCCTTTGGCTATGTACACACACATGCACATCTACACTCTCTTACAGCTTGAGTTAAGGGGACCGCTTTGTTTTTCAGGTTTAAAAAAGGTTCACTCTGAACCCAGGGCTCTACACAACTGCTGACATGACCTGCTTTTTAAAATATGGCTGCTCGGGACAATAATAGGGCCCTGTGTTGTTATTACAGATGTGGTATATATCCATGGCAGAGCAGTTTGATCAATTGGTTACTATCTCATGCATTTAAATACATTGAAAATGCATCTATAGAAATCTCTTTGTGCTCATTTGAATGTCTTATTTGTATTCAAAATTTCAGTCAACAACCATAAAAAGTGATGTAATAAAACCTGCTTTCCTAAATTATGCACTATTATGATCAAATCTAGCACACTACTTAACAATGACCTACTTCTAATGCTTTAGTTTTCCTAACTGAGCATAAGATATTTCAAACTGAAATCTGTTCATATTAAATTATTTCGTTTTATGTATCATTACATACTCAATTGCAAATATAACAAAACATAAGCTTTTCAATTCAATTTCAAAGATACTATATTAACCATTTTACTTTTTTTTTTCCTTCTGTATTAGTCTGTTTTGCACCAGATCTGGAAAAGCATCTTAATGAAGACACTCTGATGTTATTTAACAACCTGATGAAGAGGATGCTCAATGTTGTCAATAATCTTCTTCTTTACTTTATGAAGAATTCCTCTTTTTGAAATAAACTCCAGAGGAGTTCCTAGAACAGAGCCAACCTTCTTTATTAGCTTGTTGAGCTTTTTTAAGTCATTAACTAATACTGTTACCTCAGCAGATGATGGAGGAAGAGATTACACTCTATAACTATAGATTTATAGAAGATATGCAGCATTTTGTTGCAACAAATGCCGAAGGACCGAAGCTTCCTTAGGAAGTGTAATCTGCTCTGTCCTTTTTTGCATATGGCTTCACAGTTGCCTCTCCGGGCTAGTTTGTTGTCCAGATGAACACCAATTTATTTAAACTCCTCCACCACCTCCACTTCTTCTCCCGTGTTCCTGTTTCTTCTGAAATCTACAACCATCTTCCTTGTTTTGTTGATAATTGTTTCCACGACCATGCTACTAAGCGGTTCACCAGCTCTCTGTACTCTACTTCTCTTCCATCTTCAATGTATCCAACATCTGTACAGGCTAACAAGTATTTCTGCAGATAACAGGAATCAGTCTGGTGCTGGAAGTCAGAAGCGTAGAGAGAAAAATAAGAAGCGTTTTTTTTCCTGAATCTACTTTTATTGAGAGGGGAATCCTAAAAGGGTCTGTTACGCATCCAAATGGGTGCAATGGAAGAGCAGCAGAAGCCAACTTTAAAATAAAAAGGTTTAAATACTGGTCCTTTGATCTGTCTTACTTAGCTTTCAGCCCTTTTGGTGTTTAATGTACAGTACTGGTTAAATTATTATTCCTATTAAAATATTTTTTTCAGATGAAATGAACACTTAATTCTCATCTAAGTTGGTCAAATTGAAATTATAGAAATCTGTATGTGTGGCTTGTGAATTGACAAATAACTACTTGTCTACAGAAGTCTGCTTAAAGAGGGTCTTTTGTTAACTTTGAAGTAACAGCAAGCATGCTTTTGTTTGCATCATTTGTAGATGTATTTGAACTTAATATATATCACGGTCATCAAATTTAATTTATTCAATTTGTTTTCTATAAAACCTTAGAAAGGCCTTCATTACTACTTGCGGACTGAGAGATTTTCCTTTGTTTAAAAGATGGTGAGTGTGTATAACTCCAGAGAGAAACAGCTCTAGCCCTTTTAAGAATAGGGTAGAGTTGACTTGGACAGGGTTTTTTTTCTCCCTAAAACATAGAATGCTAACCGAAAATCTATTTTTTTTTTCTATTCAAGTTTGTTTAATATACAACACTTTGACCAAAGAGCTAAAATAGAAATAATCAGTGTCACAATTATTACATTTCGGTGCACAGTAAGTGCTTCACATGTCATTAGACTTGCAATTTGGTAAAATGTGCTTCATTTCTTTAGGTTTAGATTCAGGTAACATGTATCTTTGCATCCAACATCTATTCTGACAAAAATAGAAACAATGTTTTCTGTATAACACTTAAAAACATGTCTTATATAAATGAGTGTTAAAAGTAAGTCACAGCCAAAAATTCAAAGAAGTTAGTCCAATTGTGTCTAAAGTAATTGCATTTTTTTTAATTAAGCAGGTAAGTGAGACACTTTGCCAGTGGAATAAGGAAATTCACATTTGAAATAAGAATAAAACAACTGCACTCTCTTATTTCAAGTGCATAATATCTAATTATCTTATTTTCAGCATAAAAATACTAATACCATTGGCAGATCATCTTATTTACCTTCTCATATTAAGGGTAAATACATTTATTCTTGGAAATGTTTAGTTATTTTTAGATAATTTTTGCAGCGAAGGAAGGCTGTGTTAAATAAATATTGTAAAGGACTAAATGCTTATTTCATCCCTCTCTATCTAACATGAGTTGAGGGTGAGATATGTTGCATAAATCATTGATCTTTAGCTCGTTTTGCAGCAGCAGACAGAAAAATTGTTTAAGCTGCATTGCTATCAGTGAAAACATTCACCTCAGCTTTGCTGGTCATGACCCCAGCCAGGCTTCTCTAACCTCCAGCAATCTGTTGTCTACCAAATATCACACTACCATTAAATTTAACATAGTCTTGCCTCCTCCAGCACTGGCCTCCATTGCTGATACGCAACTGCACACCTAAACACGAGAGCCTGCAGACACCCACACAAGGACACCTGATCTCAGACAAGCACACACACACTGCTTTAATCTGCACTAATTGCCAGCAGGAAGATGGAGTTGTTTTCAGGGAAACAAACTGGTGGGTTGGAGCAGGGCAAAGATACAAGGCAGAAGAGTATTGAGAGTCAGGCAAATACTAAGATGGAAAAAAGGTGGAGAAATAAAAAATTTCTACCACAGACGGTTACGTGGAAACCGTGAAGACCCTCCTCCTCACATCAGAAAGATGGGTCAACCTGAATAGAAAGGTTTTATGAACCGGAGAGGAAAAACACAGTGACAGCTGTGTCAGGGGGAGATGACTGAGTAGTGCAGACTCAAGGATGGAGCCGGAGGAATCCAGAGAGTGTATTAAGCTTGACTGTGTCATGTTCTGTTCTCTTTTCAAGAAGCTCTAAAGGTGGTTAATAGAGATATGGCAGGGAGACGGAGGCATTTACCGTAGGTTTATGGGCTCTCTGGTTCACTTAGCAGTTCTAATTACGGTTCACCGACCTTTAAACAGTCTATTTTGGTTGTTTGTTTTTTTATGGGTAATCTACAAACTCTACTTCTACCACTATTCAATGTATCAAAAAACACAAAAGCATCTCACATCTTACAAAAATTGTTTATGAATAAATAAAATAAATCTAAACTGACAAAATTATGAATATGAATTTAATACAATTAACTTTTATGCATACTGTGGTTTTCTTTATGTTGATATATCAAAGAGTAGAACTGCATATTATTTGAACTGACAGTTTCATTGTGTGTAATGATGTAATAGCAACAGACTGAATGGATGCAATGTTTAGTAAGATTACATTTTGAGTCATGCATCCTTGCTGTGCATATAAAAAATAAACTGACTAAAATGATTTGGACAGTTTGCCGAAGTAGTTACATTTAGATATTCATTCAGCTGTAAAATTGAAACATTTTAGTTCTGTTTTCTCAATGAATTTAAAACTATAATGATTTAATCAAAAATATTTACAGTGCAAAAGACAAGCAGATTTTAAAATAAAACTAAAAGTTACTGAACTCTGTCTAAATCAATTAAAGTCCACAATTAAAATAAATTCCTTAACTTTATGAAACAGAGGAATCTGTGCAATTAAAATCCAAGTAAGATAGTGTGTTGGAGGAGGACTGAACCTAAAACTGTTATGGTTCTCCACTTTGGACGTATTTTTGAGTTTAATTTTGAGTTTTCAGATATTTATGTGGTATTGATTGAGTCAGGTTTCAGCTCTCAAAAACCTACAACGCAGCGATAACGTTGATTCCTCCCCGCTATCATAATCCTCATCGCAATGCATGAGACCAAGACATCTTGCCTGGTCAGCCAGGCCAACAATACCTCTAAAGACTTTCCCTTTTCAGAGGCATAGACCAGTATGTGGTATTATAGGCTAACATGATCTCAACACAACTCCCCTCTACAAAGGGGTGGACCTGTTCTTCCGGTTCATTCTGCCTGTTGTCTAAGGCTTTGTTTGGGCTACTCTATAAAGCTTGGAACTCAACACTATTTCAGATATTTTGAATTGAAAAAGCTTCCTGGATGGGAAGCGAAACGTTTTCAGACTTGGAAAACAAAAGTCCAGTGGTTTGTCTTTTAACTTTTTTGGAATGACTATCACCAGCATTTATGTCATTCTGTTTTCTTGGTCATTGGTTAATTTTCTGTTTTGTGTCATTGTAGATGTTTTCTAGTTATGTTTAAGCTGTGTTGTGTTTTTCTGGCTTTCTCTCTGTTGCCCCCTTGTGCCAGTCTCCTTTCCCCTCATTTCTAGCTGCTTCTATCCACACCTGCTCCTTGTTAGCAGATTATGCCAGTCTTTTTTCTGTCTCCCATATATACACCTCCTGTGCAGTTCCTCAGTGCTGATTTATCTCTGTTACTTTGCTCCTCATGTGTGTTAGACTAAGACTCAACTTTATTTATCCCTTGGGATTATTTCTTCAGGGAAATTCTGGTTTCAGTAGCCTATATACAGTAGTGCACAAAGGGCAGAGTTAAACCAAGATGCCTTTAAAGATAAAAATACAACAGACAATATAAAAAGAGTGTATTTAATACAAAAAAAGCATTAAAAAAGTTGATATGTCCTGGAATATGTTTCCTTTAGATATGAAAATATCTGCACAGTAGTGTTTATTCCTGGTAGCTTTTAGTT